AATTATTTCTTATATCTACCAACAATATGCGCTATATCATTACTGTATTTGGTTTAGTTTTTTCCTACTAACCATTCTAACGCACAACATACATGATGATTACAGACATTATTAAATATAATATTTGGGGACTTACGCACTGAAACCACAGTATAATTATGATAATACCTGGGGTTGTACGTCCCAAACCCATCATGTGATTATGAGAGGTGCCATTGTGGAGGGCAGCGAATATTTTGACCATCGGGTGTTCTTTAACGTGCACTGACATCGCACAGTGCACGGGGCTCTACCATTTCTCTTCCAAAAAAAAATTTGACTGCTACACCGGGATCGAACACGCGACCTTTTGGTCGGAAGCCGAGCACCGTACCCACTGTTTTACCGAGGCGGACGATCTGATTATGAGGGATGCCGTAGTGGAGGACTCCAGAAATTTCGACCATCTGGTGTTCTTTAACGTGACATTATAGCAGGGGTCTCAAAAACACTGACCATGTGGACTGCAAAAGTCTCTCTTGCGGCATGCGGCCCACACGTACATGGCTATTTTCGTCCCATATATGTTTTAAATTTTTATGATAAATATTACACAGGCGTGACTGGTCTAGAACATTGTTTTCGTGAGGTATCCCATGTGGCCCCCATGTGTTGAAACGTAACCGTGAAACAAGAACACTGTTTTAGAGTGGGCGCCCAGATTGTACTCAATTTGCAGAACGGCATTGACTTGATGTTGAATGGAGTCCTGGCCATCCCAAATGTTCTTCAGAAATCACTTGTATTAGAGTATCTAAAAGTATTTTTTTTAATGGTAGTGCTTGCTGACAATGTGTACGAACTAACCGCGCCTGCACCCCACTCACACAGTCCTCCCTGACCCGACCATTGTAAGACTAACTTCTGTGACTGCGACCGCTGACTGAGATGAGTTTGAGACCCCTGCTATATAGAGTCGAAATTTTCTGTTTATAGGGTTCGACAAACTATCACCAGTTTTTGAATGATGTTCTTTAACTAACACAATGTCGTTGAACTAGCATGATTCGCGCAGCAGCCACTGTAAAATAACAAAAGGTGTCTTGTTATTATGGCAGCGAATATGACTACAGCCAGCATTCTGAGCACTCACTTGGAGGCATTACTACGAGAAAACTTTGATACTCTAAATCAAGGGATGCTGGCAGTCATGCCAAGCTTGATTTTCTTGATAAGTTCGGAAGATCGTCTCAAGCGAAGAAGGAAGCGAGAGAGAAAAGAAAAGGTGGGAGCGAAGTTCTCAAATAACACTGTGGCGTATATTATTCTTCAAAAAAAAACTCAAGCATAATTTGCATATACAAAGCTAAAGTATAGTTCTATAAACTACACACATCTATTCTCCGTAAATTGGATGGAGGGATAGCCGCCGTGGTAGCTCAGTTGGTCGAGCATCGAACGCGTTATTCGGATGTCGCAGGTTTGTTCCTTGACAACGGCAATTTATTTTTTCATCCACTTTCCTTTCCTCACATTTATATTGCAATTACGTCTAATAGCATCGCCAATTCTTTCCTTCGAATAATGGTCTGTTCGATCTCGTTATTATTGTGACTACACTTAATTTGTAGCACGAAATATTTCGTGGCAGATAAATCGGACTGACAGCTCTCACAGTCGGGAGGGAGGCGAACACACGTTTCCTCTTCAGTCAATGCTGCCACACGTGCTCCTTTCTTTCTGTTATATTCATGTTACTTCCCCATTACAACGTAACTGCTTCCTTGCGCAAAGCACGCCGCATGACAGGAAACTATTTAAATAATCTGAGAATCTTCCGACGAGATAACGTGCAGAACGCGGACATTAGAGTTTCATTTAGAAATGACGCGACTGCTATATAGCATGAACACTGTAATACATATATAAAAACCGACGCGCTGGACCGCTTGTCAGACTATAATAATATTATGTGGTGTTGAATGTCCCAAAACCACAATCTGAGAGACGCCGTAGTGGAGGGCTGCGGAAGTTTCGCACACCTGGGGTTTTTTTAACATACACGTAAATCTGAGCACACGGGCCAACAACATTTTCACCTCCATCTAAAATGCAGCCGCCGCAGCCGGGATGTGATCACGCGACCTGCGGGTGCGCAGCCGAGTGCCTTAGTCACTAGACCACCGCGGCGAGGCACCGGTTGTCAGATCATCGACGTCTGATTGACGCTCTGTTCGTGGCTATATCTGTACAGCATGAACTGCTTGTAGCTCGCCTTCTGAATTCTCGAGCGCAGTTTCATGCAAATAAAAAAAGTTTAGTATCGAACATAGTTGCTGATGTCTGCGTTTTAACGTTACGACCCCTTGAAACTATCTTCTGAATCGGAATGACCACCTACGTATGTGTTCGCAGCACTGCTGTGTATTGATACTCCCGCTTTGAGCCAAAGGCGTGCAATGAGAGGGCCACTCATTCGCAAAGATCTAAAATACGAAATTCAAGCAGCTCTTGAATGCGAGTGAAAAATCAAGCAATTGAAGAAATCTGATATATTTTTCGAAACAATAGAAAAGTCAACGTAAGTGAGGTCTATGCTAATAAGTGCCTCGATTGGTCGCACCAAGACATTGCCGTATTGAAAATCGTTACTTGTGATAAAAACAGCTGTTGGTCTTCTCAAAGCCATTCAGCATTACGTGCATTGTTCCGTCCTCCCTGCTATTTTCTCTACCTGTCCATTTAGTCGACTATGTTTCTTTCAGATTCAGTTGTAAAACAGAGAGCCCGCTATCAAAAACGATGGCCGCCCCTCGGTAACTGCCACTCGATCGTAGCAATAAAGAAAGACCCTATGAAGCTACCATTCATACATTTAGGTGAAAAGCTTGACCAAAACGTTCACTCGCGAAGCGATTTTTATGCTTTTATCACTTTCAATAAGTGGCTGCTGGCGACATTTTACTTATAACTATTCAGAGTACCCATAGTTGTGTTACCTTGGTAAGGCCGAGAGTCGTAGGCAGAATTTTTTTTTCGGGGGTTGGGTGGTCCCTACTTTGATATGAAATGGGCCCCGGCCAAGCAGTGGGGTTGAGTGTCAGTTTCTGCTCTGAATGATATGGTAAAAAAAATGGAGAGGGCACGGGTGAGCCACCCTCTGGCTATACGGCACTGGTAAAGCCTGAAACGAAACTATAGGGTAACGTGATTTTACGATGCACTGACTGTACAGAAACTCGCTTTTATTGAATCGTGGTGTATAACGTACAACATTACCTTAGATATAACTTCCCATTTTTTTTAATCCATGAAGGTAACAGGCCACGCCAAACAACACGTTATGAACGTATTGCTGCTCAGGCAGATTAACGAACTACTGCGAGTCTTGTGACGTCACAAATATGTTTTATAGAGTGATTTATCGTACACGCATATTCTCAATAACTTACACCAACACCATTTTCGCGTGATCTATAAAAAATGCCACCTCTCAATATGCATTACTATTACCAATAATAGGAATATATAATAAAGCTCAAGCAACAGCCCTGTTTAGGGGGCAGTATGCAACCATGATTAGGCTTTTTTGCCCAGAAAGAATAAAGCAATAGAAAATTAAATTTTCTCATAATTTTTTCACTTGCTCTCTAGCCTCCCTTCCAGAAATGTTAAGCAAGTACGTGTGACGAGAAACGTGTGGTGTCGTATAGCACCGTTTAATACTGCCGCACCCACCGAGGTATCTGAAAGGCAATGGCCTTACGCAACTAAGTAGTACGCGAGGTTGCAGGTTCGATTCACGGCTACGGTACCACATTTCGACGAGGACGAGATGCAAAAACATCGATGTACTAAAATTCGACGTCAATAATATTTCGTTTTATACTGTCGGTGTTCGACTCAACTGTTATTAAGCGCGAAGTAGGTTCCTGTTGAAAAGGAAAATGTGCCTTCGATGCATTATTGGCAAATAAATACTGCAATTTAGCTTGACATTTAACGACCTACTTTTGGTATTTGTATAAACTTGCCAGATGTTTGTTCGACTTTCAATGATGAAACATACGCACGTGATGCTCTTGCTGACGATCATCATCACTGCAGTCATTGTAGTCCTTCGGTTGTATGTCTACCGCAGAATGAATTCTTTTTCTTACTGATGCCCAGTGATCACTGTGTAGCGCTAAAACTGATGCGGCTATGTGCCTTGTAAGTTATTGCATTTCATTGGGCTTTGCTAGGTTGTTGATAATCACTTCATCGTACTATTGTCATACTCAACCTTTCCAAAAGTAAACTCTGAAACAAAAGAACAGAAGAACACTGGCAACGGCACAAATTGCGCTTAGAGCACGGTTGCAGCTGCATTTTTACATCTTCCACATATGTATTTGCAGGTATGGCTTTACACGAACGTAATGCGTATACCTGTCTTCTGGTGTACGCATGCAAAGAATTTCTAACACTTGGCTAGGGTTTTACGCATCACAACTACGATAGGCTCATGGACCGCATGCCGAACAACGATATGGTTATGAGACACACCGTTGTTGGCGACTATACTTCGACTTTTTTGGCCTGCACCTAAATCTGAGTACACGGCTTTTTTTTCCTTGACTAACTTTGTCAATTATAGGAGAGTTTCATATGCGTACAGCATGCGGCTCACGGGCGCTTAGTTTGTGCATTAAGCATGCAAAAATGCTCGTGCTAAACATCAGACCCATTAGCTGCACAACCACTATGATGGATACATGGCTTTCCCGTAAAGGTAGACGGCATCAAGTCAATGCACACCTCGAAACTGACGCCTTCTCGCTTCCTATCATTGTTGGCATAAAAACTAAAATTTAATGCAGAGACTGTCAGAAACTCAGGGGCTTGATTCAGTCATAGCTCATTCATGAAATGTTTTATTAGGACCCAATGTTAGAACTGCATGACGTGTTACAGCTGCAACAATAGTAATGAGGAGTCATTTATGTTTGGACTTCTAAGTCCTAGAGTTCGCGACAATTTGGGTTCCAGAAGTCACGTGGTGAATTGATACAAGCGCGACGATCTCGACGAAGCGTCAGTCATGATGTCACTTCCATTCAGGTTACACTGCATAAGAGGCTTGGAGGAGCTGTCCCAGGGTGTCTGTTCCAGCGGAACATAAATTTCACGGTCATCTGAAAGGAAAAATAAAAAAGGATTAGAACACACACACGCACACACACATGCACACGCACACACACACACGCACACACACATGCATACGCACACACACACGCACACGCACACACGCACACACACACACACACACACACACACACACACACACACACGTCAAGTCATCGGGAAGATTTTACTTCGACAAATGCGGTGCCGTGGTGTGCGTATCTTACTTGAGTACCCATCATGTAAAAATGATCCTCAACAATATCAAGACAACCTATAATAGCTCGAGGAAGGTTCCTCAAACTTAACATGGATGCTGGATACTGTGAGGGTGCTGACACTCTATGTAAAGTTGTTTGCACCGCGTGGCGCGTGTGTTTCACGCAAAAGCCGTAATTCCGGGTCAGCTATTGAGCGGTAGGTGGCGTTGTGTTCGCGAGCGTTGATCACCCCTATCATCATCATGGTTAGGTTGGTAGTGCCAGTGGTGACCCCTGGTGGAAGGCCTTGGTGGCAGGTCTCTCTCTCTGGCGCGTGGCAGTTGGCTTGAACGGTCTTCTCTCGCGTGGGTCCCCGGTGCACGGCACCGCGGGCCATCTGCCGGGGGCCCTTGTGTTGAGCCAAGCGTTGGCGCTGCCGCCTCTGGTTTGTTATGCTGTTGAGTTTTGCGTAATTACGTTTCAGGTTTTTTTAGCGTGTTAACTGATGTTTATGTTTATCTTTTGTACCACCCCTGCTGAGTGGGCATGGTCGAGCAGCAGCTATGCAGTCGACTAAGAACCCGTTTTTTCTTCTACTCCAGTTGCTGACGATGCTGGCTTCCGCCCCCTGCAAAGAAGCTCTAACGGACGGCTTTCACCTACCTTCGAAGGGCGCTTCCAACTGGAGCGACACGGCGAGGTTCTCTTCGTGGTGCCTTGCGTCACGGGTGCATGTTGTTCAGGGCGGACCGCCAACGCTTCTGCAGTCTTCTTCTTCGGCTTGGAATCATGCTTGGCAGTGCCCCGTGTTTGATAGCACAACAAGCCTGCCTGTTGTCACTCCGATAATCTCCGAATGCTCATCAGCATCGTCATCACCCAGCCACAAGTTTATAAGCAGCCGTCATCCCCCGCGCGACTTCAGTGGGCATGGTCGAGCAGCAGCTATGCAGTCGACTAAGAACCCGTTTTTTCTTCTACTCCAGTTGCTGACGATGCTGGCTTCCGCCCCCTGCAAAGAAGCTCTAACGGACGGCTTTCACCTACCTTCGAAGGGCGCTTCCAACTGGAGCGACACGGCGAGGTTCTCTTCGTGGTGCCTTGCGTCACGGGTGCATGTTGTTCAGGGCGGACCGCCAACGCTTCTGCAGTCTTCTTCTTCGGCTTGGAATCATGCTTGGCAGTGCCCCGTGTTTGATAGCACAACAAGCCTGCCTGTTGTCACTCCGATAATCTCCGAATGCTCATCAGCATCGTCATCACCCAGCCACAAGTTTATAAGCAGCCGTCATCCCCCGCGCGACTTCAGTGGGCATGGTCGAGCAGCAGCTATGCAGTCGACTAAGAACCCGTTTTTTCTTCTACTCCAGGTTGGTAAATTTCACTCATGCTACTCTAAAAAGTCAAACAACCTGTGTCTGCTGCTTGTACCATGCCCAAGTGTACTTTTTTTATGTATTTGCGAATGTGTTCATGTTGTGAAACTATTGCTTTTGAGTGGTGACGTCGAATCCAATCCAGGTCCAAATAATTCTTCTAGTCTTCCTGATGAGCTGGCTGAAGTCGTGAAGGCAATTAATGCGCACGTTGACGCACGCCATAAAGAATTAAAAACAGTTCTTGATGAATTGAAGTCCAGTCAGGCGATTTTGGAGCAAACTGTGTCAGATATTAACTCAAGATTGGTTGCTGTAGAAGCTCGTGTAAATTCCTTCGACAAAATGCCTCCAAGTAACCTGCAGCAAACTATAAGTGATACTGTTCGTGGGGCGAACGCTGAATTACGTTCACGCCTAGATGATTTCGAGGATAGGTCACGGCGAGAAAACCTTCTATTCTTCGGAATACCTGATGCTGCAGCCGAAACATGGTCGCAGTCCGAAGATAAGGTTCGCGAGATTATGTCCACTCTAGGTCTCCAACTGCCGACCGATGCCATTTCACGTGCGCATAGGCTTGGTTCATACGCAAATAAGAAGTGCCGTCCTGTAATTGTAAAGCTTTCTAATTTTAAGGTTAAGGAAAGCATTATGGCAAATAAGGCCAAATTAAAAGGTATCGGTGTCAGCTTAAGTGAAGATTTTTGCAAAGAAACTAGGAACACGCGTAAAAAATTGTACGAGTACGGAAAGTCGACTGGTCAACAGTTTGCAGTGCGTTACAACAAGTTATTCATTAACAAAAAATGCTTCGTTTACTGCAGTCAAACCGACAGCGTTTGTGAACTTACCCGTGAATTTACTTCTTCACTTTCCCCTTCAAGTACCAATATTCCTAGCAGTGTTCTTCCCTCTTCCTAGCAATCCCAACCTACTAAACGTGCCGCAACACTTGAACCAGTTTCAGTCTTGTTTACAAATATTAGAAGTGTGCTAAGTAAACGTGACGAGTTATCTTCTATAATTGATGACTGTTCTGCGGACATAGTAGTGTTAACAGAAACTTGGTTGTCAAGTAAAATTCGCAACACTGAGGTTTTACACTGCAAAAACACCTACAATTTTTACAGATCAGATCGTATAACAAGAACAGGGGGCGGTGTTCTTATCGCGATATCAGATAGATTTTCCTCTCATATTGTTCCCATAAGTTCGCCACTAGAAATCGTATGCGCGTGCGTTCGATTTGCGTATCAGGACGTGATTTTGTGCGTTTGCTACCGACCGCCTCGCTGCCCCTCAGACTTTTGCGAAAACTTCCATGACTGTTTGCACGCAGTTTCTGTCAGGTACCCAAATTCTCATATATTTGTCATGGGCGATTTTAATTTCCCAGAAGTTACTTGGGGCAGTGGGGATGGAACGGCTAGCTGTCTTTCAGCGGAAGGTAATTGCTTTTTAAACATATGCAATGATTTTAATTTAACCCAAGTAATCCATGAACCCACGCGCATCACAGCATTTTCTTCAAATATACTTGATTTGGTTTTCACAACTAATCCTTCGGTCATTTCATCGATTCACTACCTACCCGGGCTTAGTGATCATCGCATTGTACACTTCACCTGCGCAATGCAACCACAGCGTCCTATGCACGCAACTAAAGTTATAAAAGATTATGCGAAAGCTGATTATGCATCTATATGTACTGAGTTGGAAGTTTTCACTGAAAAATACATTGCATGTGCCGCTGATAACACTGTAGAGGAGAACTGGGTATCGTTCAAAAATAAGTTTAATTCACTTATAGATTGTTATGTTCCTTTACGAACTGTTCGAACGGCGTTCCGCTCTCCGTGGTTCACATCAGCACTTCTTCGCTTACGTAATAAAAAAAAACGACTTTACCGCAGCGCTTCATCATCTGACACCACGGAGAGATGGGCGGCTTATCACAACGCAACATTAGAATACAAAAAAGCTTATGCAGTTGCTAAACATAGTTTCTTCAGCGATACCCTTCCCTCTCTTCTACAGTCTAACCCTCGTAAGTTTTGGTGTCTAGTAAATGGTCCAAAAAATAAGAACATTGATCTTTGTGACGAACTTGGTTTGGCGATTGCAAGTGACAGGTGCTGCGAGGCTTTGCAAGACGTATTTAAAAAATCATTTTCCGTTGACAACTCCAATCATTTACCAATTCAAGCCGATCCTGGATATCCCCGAATGGAACCAATCATCATTGATCAATTGGGGCTATTTCACCTCATATTAAAAATGAAAGCCTCGGCACCTGGCATAGATGGAATCGCTCCCCAATTTCTCAAACAAACTGCCACTTATTGTTCAGTCATTTTTTCACAGCTCTTTTCACAGTCATTACAAAATGCCTCATTGCCCAGTGACTGGAAGGCGGGGAAGGTGGTTCCTGTGCCTAAACCAGGTGACTCATCTAATCCTTCTAACTACAGGCCCATCACTTTGACTAGTATTCCATGTAAGCTTCTCGAACACATAATCTATTCTAACTTAATTATATTTCTCGAAGAAAATAACTTCTTTCACAACAGTCAGCATGGTTTTAGGAAACACTACTCATGTGAAACCCAACTACTTCTCTTCACCAACGACTTATTTTCAGCTTCTGACACTGGCTCCATTATCGATTGCATTTTCCTTGATTTTCAAAAAGCTTTTGACACCGTTTCTCACCGTTTACTCCTACTAAAACTAAGCATGCTAAATATTGACTCAAACACATTACGATGGATCGAATGCTTCTTATCTAACAGAACCCAACATGTAACAGCTAACGATCATGACTCACGCAATTGTTCAGTAATCTCTGGTGTGCCGCAAGGTTCTGTCCTTGGACCCTTACTCTTTCTAATTTATATTAATGACCTTCCATCCAGCATTACATCAACAATCAGGCTATTTGCCGACGATTGTGTCATCTACCGCATAATAACTAACTCTCATGATTCATCACTACTTCAATCTGATCTTGACAACATTACATCTTGGTGCTCACTCTGGTCAATGAAACTAAATATTGGCAAGTGCAAAATAATGAGGATCTCTCGAGGAAGTACTGACTGCACTAGCCCTGTTTATTCAATTTCTAATTTTCTGTTGTCGTCTGTCAATACTTACAAATATCTTGGTGTTCACATAGATAACAATTTAACATGGAATAATCATGTCAGTTATGTGATTAACAATGCTAACCGCACTCTCGGCTTCTTGCGCCGTAACTTTTCATTAGCACCTGTTTCATTAAAACTTCTTCTTTATAAAACACTAGTCAGATCTAAACTCGAATACGCCTCATCAATCTGGGATCCTCATTCTTGTTCACTTGTTAATGCACTGGAAGCCATCCAAAATCGCTCAGCTCGCTTCATTGTCGCTAATTACTCCCGTACCGCT